AGTTTTCGTCCACAAGTCCTTATAACGTATAATGATAACATATAGCAAAACTCTTAAAAAGGGCAAATTTCTGCTAGTCCTTATGATACCTTTACCATTGGGCAGTTTGGCAAGGACTACAGGACTACAGGACTAGTACCAATTTCTAACGCTGACATATTGTCCTGTTTTCGATCAGAGCTTTCAGCATCATATAGGTCTATGCCTTTATTATTATTCATGACACAACACTATTATTGTCTGATCATAGGTTTTCAGACATCATACGTTTTCTATCACGAATACTTGCACTATAATGAGGGGGGTGTGGCGTCAGAAAGAAATTGTAAATACTCAGATGATAGCTTGTTTTTAAGATCAAGTTGTCTTTTATAAGTGAATGAGATGTTTTACAGTTGTTCATGTGATTAGCAAGAAAACTTTGATTCTTTCTTCAGCATGTAACTGATGTAACACATGGGGCGTTTTGTAGAACATGGGGTGCGTTGGGTAACACGTGGGGTGTGTTGGGTAACAGGTGGGGTGTGTTGGGTAACAGGTGGGGTGTGTTGGGTAACACATGGGGCGTTTTGTAGATTATGGGGTGCGTTGGGTAACACGTGGGGTGTGTTGGGTAACAGGTTGGGTGTGTTGGATAACACATGGGGCGTTTTGTAGAACATGGGGTGCGTTGGGTAACACGTGGGGTATGTTGGGTAACAACTGGGGCACGTTGGGTAACACATGGAGCGTGTTGGGTAACACGTGGGGTGTGTTGGGTAACAGGTGGGGCACGTTGGGTAACACATGGAGCGTGTTGGGTAACACGTGGGGTACGTTGGGTAACAAGTGGGGCACGTTGGGTAACAAGTGGGGTGTGTTGGGTAACACATGGAGCGTGTTGGGTAACACGTGGGGTACGTTGGGTAACATGTGGGGCACGTTGGGTGACACATGAGGCGTGTTTGGTAGAACATGGGGTACGTTGGGTAACAAGTGGGGCACGTTGGGTGACACATGAGGCGTGTTTGGTAGAACATGGGGTACGTTGGGTAACACGTGGGGCACGTTGGGTGACACATGAGGCGTGTTTGGTAGAACATGGGGTACGTTGGGTAACAAGTGGGGCACGTTGGGTGACACATGAGGCGTGTTTGGTAGAACATGGGGTACGTTGGGTAACAAGTGGGGCACGTTGGGTGACACATGAGGCGTGTTTGGTAGAACATGGGGTACGTTGGGTAACACGTGGGGCACGTTGGGTGACACATGAGGCGTGTTTGGTAGAACATGGGGTACGTTGGGTAACAAGTGGGGCACGTTGGGTGACACATGAGGCGTGTTTGGTAGAACATGGGGTACGTTGGGTAACAAGTGGGGCACGTTGGGTGACACATGAGGCGTGTTTGGTAGAACATGGGGTGTGTTGGGTAACAGGTTGGGTGTGTTGGGTAACACATGGGGTGTTTGTAGAACATGGGGTGCATTGGGTAACACGTGGGGTGTGTTGGGTAACAGGTGGGGCACGTTGGGTAACACATGGAGCGTGTTGGGTAACACGTGGGGTGCGTTGGGTAACAGGTGGGGTGTGTTGGGTAACACATGGAGCGTTTTGTAGAACATGGGGTACCCTCTCATATAGTTTCGTGTCATTCGAGAGAGTGTAAAGTGCACATACAGTGTCAGAAACTAACAGTTTTCGTCCACAAGTCCTTATAACGTATAATGATAACATATAGCAAAACTCTTAAAAAGGGCAAATTTCTGCTAGTCCTTATGATACCTTTACCATTGGGCAGTTTGGCAAGGACTACAGGACTACAGGACTAGTACCAATTTCTAACGCTGACATATTGTCCTGTTTTCGATCAGAGCTTTCAGCATCATATAGGTCTATGCCTTTATTATTATTCATGACACAACACTATTATTGTCTGATCATAGGTTTTCAGACATCATACGTTTTCTATCACGAATACTTGCACTATAATGAGGGGGGTGTGGCGTCAGAAAGAAATTGTAAATACTCAGATGATAGCTTGTTTTTAAGATCAAGTTGTCTTTTATAAGTGAATGAGATGTTTTACAGTTGTTCATGTGATTAGCAAGAAAACTTTGATTCTTTCTTCAGCATCCGAGAACCCATAACACGGGGATATATGTTGTATTAATGTGTTATGTTTGTAATGTCATTGGGCGTTTTTCAACAAAAGGTAAGTACAAGGTCAGTTTTTTTTAAATATGCTTCAACGTGGGGAAAAGGTCAGACATTGCACGCTTGTGACAGTTGTCCTTGTGTCTGGGGGATGGGGGTTGAACATGTTGAAGTTTATGGCAGTATTGCTCCCAGACCCAATTTTTAAAAGGTACTGATTTAACTTCGTAATTTTGATTATTCAACACTGAGATGGTGTGAATGTTGTCCGAACTACACAAAATTGCTTAAGGTTTCAAAGATTTCGAGGGGGGGGGGACTTGCCCCCAGACCCCCCTACAATTTTCCTCTTTTGGAGGGAAAACATGCTCACATTCCAGTAATCAACAGTTTAACAAACATTCATATTCAACAGTTTAACCATCATCTGTATTCAACAGTTAAACCATCATTCGTATTCAACAGTTTAACCATCATTCGTATTCAACAGTTTAACCAACATTCGTATTCAACAGTTAAACCATCATTCGTATTCAACAGTTTAACCATCATTCGTATTCAACAGTTTAACCATCATCCGTATTCAACAGTTATGCAAACATTTGTATTCACCAGTTAAACCATAATTCGTATTCAACAGTTTAACCAACATTCATATTCAACAGTTTAACCAAGCAGTTTTAGCCATGCATCTGCATTCAACAGTTTAACCCCCCCAAAAAAAATAATTCACTCACTCACTCAGAAGCAGCTCGGATACATATCTTCGTATTGATGCATTTGGGCCGTTCCAGACTTGATTCCATGCACTAGGTGCTGTTACAACAACTACAGGATCCTGTAGTCTTCTTCATATAGAGAGTGACAGAAGAACGTATTTCATCACATTCATCCTATTTGCCCCAATATTTATCAGTAAACTGACACCACAGAGGCAGCCTTGTAAGAGGGATGATCTGGTTGGTTTATTCATGAATATGGCAGAATGTGTTGTCACTGTGGGGAGCCAGCCAGCATGAGAGGAGATCATGAATAAATCATGAACAGGGTACAGAGACGGGGGAGAGCTGTTGTCCATGCGTGCTCCTGATGATTACAGGGGACTGGGTGGGGGGACAGGGGGCATGGACTGCCTGTGTTGACATATAGCCACAAGAAAGCAAGGGGGACAGATCTGATTCTATGGCTGTTTCTCTTCTCAGGACAAACATGTGCCTCAGTGGCAGGATGTTGCCAAACACTGCCTGAGTGATATTTAACAGCTGAAATTGGGTTTAAAAATGTGCTGATTAAAATACATATCATTTGATGCACTGCTCATTCATTCATTCATTCATTCATTCATTCATTCACCCAGTAATATCACATGCGACTTTTGTTGAACAGCTGACTGGGTGATTATGTGAGCTGGGTGATGCAACCAATAAATCAATAAAATCATTGAATGTATTGCAAAATTTACTAGGTTTACAAATCAATACAAATTACTTCACAGCAATGGCAGTACACAATAATAGAGTGGTATTACAATATTCAATGGCAATATAAAATATGATAGCAGTGGTTAGTATCAAATACAAAATCAGTGGTGATAGCAAAAGTCACTGATATTAATATATATTCACCAAGCGGCAGCAGTGGTCAAGCTTCTGAGATCGGCTAGGCTTGGAATTTGGGGTGATGAGTGATCTTCACATGAAAGCTGGTCTTGGTGTATTGAAATGTGTGAGAGATACGAGATGCATGCTCTTATCCCCTTAAACAGTCTAACAAGCTTCTGAAAATTTCTACACAGTGCCATCACATCACAGAATATTCCACATGTTTCTATAACACTTTATCACAGTCCACGGTATTCCAGAGGTTTACGTGTTACACAATAATCTAAATATGGTAACTTCCTCATTACTGCTTACATTAAATACTACTACATTCATGACAACTAATCATTGTCCAGTTACAATCAAATGTGCATCTAACCTATCTAAACAGAAACAATGTAATACAATTACAATCATTGTTTAATAACAAACAGAAACAATGTAATACAGTTACAATCATTGTTCAACAACAAACAGAAACAATGTAATACAGTTACAATCATTGTTCAACAACAAACAGAAACAATGTCATACAGTTACAATCATTGTTCAACAACAAACAGAAACAATGTAGTACAGTTACAATCATTGTTTAACAATAAAATACACTGCCATATGACAATGATAACATATAGCAAAACCCTTCAAAGGGGCAAATTTCTACTAGTCCTTTTGACACCTAAACGATTTAGCAGTTTGGCAAAGACTATAGGACTAGTCCCGCTGGGATTGTACGACTGATTCTGTTAAAACCATCGTCTATCTCTCATTTCAGTGGGATAAATTAGGTACCATTTTAAGACTTGTTCCATGCAGCTTGAGAAAGCTGCTTTTTGATTGACTAATTTTGACTTCTTGTTAGTCGTTTCATTAGTTAATCGAGGTTTGTTCTGATGTGACATGTAATGGGATGTCCTCAGATCTTTGTTTAGCTGTAGAACTAAGATATGATTTTATTGAGATTGAGCTATGACAGGTTGCAGCCATGTTTGGCCGCTGCTGTGTATACTGTAATATTGATGATGACTACTGCTCAAATCAACATTCACCTGTCTGTCATTGAACTATTAGGGGCCGTGGGGTAGCCTAGTGGTTAAAGCGTCCGCTTGTCATGCCGAAGACCCGGGTCCAATTTCCCGAATGGGTACAATGTGTGAATCCTATTTTTGGTGTTCCCTGCTATGCTATTGCTGGAATATTGATAAAAGCAACGTAAAACCATTTTCACTCTATCACTCTAACTTTCAGTGTGCTTTTGTTTTCAGTAATGGCCGCCAACACCAACTGTTTTGACTGGAAGGGTAACAAGGTAGAGAATGGCGCCAAGTTCATCCCGAACAACGAGGACCCGTGCATGAAGTGTACGTGTCACAACGGTTTCACCATCATGTGCCAGGACGTGGTGTGCCACCCTCCGGAAAACAAATGTCTCAAGCTCATCAAGGTGGAGGAGGAGTGCTGCGAGTACCAGTGTCTGGACCCTCCCCGGTCCAACCCGGACCTGCCCGGCATGGACAACAGTACCATCGGCAATGGCGGCACAGGTAACTATGGCAACAGTGTGTGCTAGTTTCGTGGCTGGGCTAGGTTACAGTTTCTGTCATGACAGGTTACATAGGCACAGTTGGGTGTTATCTTTAGACTGTGAGTCAGTGACACACCACGATATAACTGGAATACTGTTAAAAGCGGTGCTGCATTTGCCTATGACGATGAAACAACTGACAGCCATTAAACTACCAAAGACTTGTTACTCTTTTTTTCACATGGCCTGAAGTGACATTATGACATGTCATAAATCTTCACCCCTGGTGTCTCGCTGTCAATAGCTGCAAGATTGCTTAAGGGGCGTTAAGCAATAATGAGACCGTCTCCATGGTTTAGTGCATAGAGTGCCTCCCCCCTAGACTGGAAGGTCATGAATTTGATCCCCGGCCGCATCATACATAAAGACGCTTTTGATGGTAATTGTTGTTACCCTGCCTGGCGCTCAACATTATGGGGCCAAAACAAGGACAAGTCGTCTCGTTGTCAGTATACTGGTATTCAACGGGGTATTCATGTTAAACTTCGGTATGGTATCAGTGGGCTAAGGCTATAAAATCGGCATTAGCCCAGACTAGTACAAGCAGCCACACACACGCATGCATGCACGTCGCTATATAAGTGCAATAATCTAGAATGTTACGTTAAACCCCATTTAACCTCACCTTAAGCAATAATAGGTACTCACCTCTGGCATGGCAATAACTCACTGTCAGAGTGGTATCCATTTTCTTTTGACCTTGTGACATCTTGTCTTCCCCAACAGTGGAGGATGACAGCATCACCAACCTGGGGCTCCGCCTGGTGGCCAGCACGGTCACGTCCTTCCTCGTCCTCGCGCTGCTGCTCTTCATGGTCCATCGACTGAGGCAGAGACGGCTTCTCCTGGCCATGAGACGTGAGTAGTGTACAGAGACATGAGTAGTGTACAGAGACTTGAGTAGTGTACAGAGACATGAGTAGTGTACAGAGACTTGAGTAGTGTACAGAGACGTGAGCAGTGTACAGAGACATGAGCAGTGTACAGAGACGTGAGCAGTGTACAGAGACCTGAGTAGTGTACAGAGACGTGAGTAGTGTACAGAGACATGAGCAGTGTACAGAGACCTGAGTAGTGTACAGGCGGTAGCAGTGTACAGAGACATGAGCAGTGAACAGAGACCTGAGTAGTGTACAGAGACATGAGCAGTGTACAGAGACATGAGCAGTGTACAGAGACGTGAGCAGTGTACAGAGACATAACTAGTGTACAGAGACGTGAGTAGTGTACAGAGACGTGAGTAGTGTACAGAGACGTGAGTAGTGTACAGAGACATGAGTAGTGTACAGAGACATGAGTAGTGTACAGAGACGGGAGTAGTGTACAGAGACATGACTAGTGTACAGAGACGTGAGTAGTGTACAGAGACGTGAGCAGTGTACAGAGACGTGAGTAGTGTACAGAGACATAACTAGTGTACAGAGACGTGAGTAGTGTACAGAGACGTGAGCAGTGTACAGAGACGTGAGTAGTGTACAGAGACATGACTAGTGTACAGAGACGTGACTAGTGTACAGAGACGTGAGTAGTGTACAGAGACGTGACTAGTGTACAGAGACGTGAGTAGTGTACAGAGACGTGAGTAGTGTACAGAGACGTGAGCAGTGTACAGAGACGTGACTAGTGTACAGAGACGTGAGTAGTGTACAGAGACGTGAGCAGTGTACAGAGACGTGAGTAGTGTACAGAGACGTGAGTAGTGTACAGAGACGTGAGCAGTGTACAGAGACGTGAGCAGTGTACAGAGACGTGAGTAGTGTACAGAGACGTGAGTAGTGTACAGCGACGTGAGTAGTGTACAGAGACCTGAGCAGTGTACAGAGACGTGACTAGTGTACAGAGACGTGAGTAGTGTACAGAGACGTGATTAGTGTACAGAGACGTGAGCAGTGTACAGAGACGTGAGCAGTGTACAGAGACGTGAGCAGTGTACAGAGACGTGAGCAGTGAACAGAGACGTGAGTAGTGTACAGAGACGTGAGTAGTGTACAGAGCCGTGAGTAGTGTACAGTGACGTGAGTAGTGTACAGAGAAGTAAGTAGTGTACAGAGACATTAAGTTAATTGAGAAGTCAAGTCTGTTTTTCATTATTTGATAAAAAAAATGTTTGAGTTTTATTTCACCCTGCATGTAGTTTAAGTGAAAATGTCTTTTAAAAAATCTGAAAAGCAAGTGATTCATGAAAGAGGCCTGCTGTTCTATGCCCCTGATGACTCTGTTTCCTGCAGGGTTCGAGGCGCAGTCTCGACGCCAGCAGCTGGAGGAAAGTGACTCGGACCCCTACATCCCCGACACCTACTTCGGCATGATTGAATGCCCCCCCTACGAGGACCCCCCTCCTCCGTACTCCTCCCCAAAACCCAACCCACACATCATGCCAGGTGAGGCCCCGCCACCATACGAGGAGGTCGATCAGAATCACCATAGAAACAACAACAATAACAACAACCTGCTTCCATCTGACACCCAGACGATCAGCAGCAGATCTCAGGGGACTCAGGCGTGTAACCAATATGACCGGACAAGTCCAGGACAAGATGGGGTGGTACCACGGCCTGTGACAAGGCGCTCACTTTTTGGGACTGAAATTACAGACCTCGATCAGAGACAAGCCAATGGGTCTTGCTCTGCTGGCAGAGTTAGATGTGAGTCCTCGTCACAAAGAGCTCCAAAGTCAGAGGTAAGCGGCCGTGAAGCTGCTATTGGGGTAAGTGTTGTGGGTTCAGATCACAGCAACTCCCTTGGCCGTGTGTCTAATAGCACAGACAGCACCGAGTCGCACAACTGTAGCTGTGATAGCGAACAGACTCTTCTGAAAAAGACAGTTTGCAACGACAAGGCCAACTGGACCAGTCAAACACTGCCCCTCGGCTTCTGCATCGGCCAGGACAGAATGAAAGGACGGAAAGCGAAACAGCACAGCCCTTGTCCAAGGACGTCCCGAAGCTGCCAAGGACAACTCAACCCAGCTGCGGACATGTCTTGGAGTCCAGCTAACAGCAGTCAGTCATTACCTCAAGAGGCAAACCCATGTTCATCTGGTCACCAATATTCCTCGCTGCCTCCACGGTTACATGAGGCGCAGCAGGCCGAGTCTACTGGGACGTCAGGTGGTGCAGGTAGAACTCTGGCAGCTGCTGCCGCAGCGTATCATCCTTTGGCTGAGGAACCATTGGACCCTGTTCTGAACTGTCCCGAGCCACCAAGGCCAACAACTAGTCATAGTATGTCCCAGAGTTGTGTCATTCTGAGGGAAAAGAAACATGAAAGGAATGACCAGGAACAACTACGCAAGAGTCTGCCTCCTCTAGATTTCCCCTCAAACAGTCCCTCAGCATCAGAAGCTAATCCTCAGGCTAAAGATGCTGAACATCAAGCATCAGAGAACCAGCATAGAAATAGTAATGAGTATCTCAGAAACATTCGTCTTTCCAATCTTCTGAACAGTCCGGTGACCTCCTTTGATGGCCCTGCCTCTCCAGGGTCTCCAGTCGCAAGGTCGATGCGGCGATCTCATTCTGTGACCTCGGATATTTCAGTTTTCTCAGTGTGTTCAGAAACTGGAGAAAAAAGGTCAAAAGCAGCTGCTGCAGCAGCAGGAAGAGTGTTGAGAAATGACTCCCAGTATCCTGATATCCCAATATCTGCTCACGCCATGAGGATGGCCACTCTTGCCCAGCAGGTTGACGGTCAAGGTCATCATGACAGTCACCTTGATGGAGAGCCAACGAACGACGGTGCTAGAGACGATGGCCTTCCGACCAGCGGGAAGCCTGCGAGTGATGAGGGAGGAGAAGGGCTGGTCAAGCCGAGGCTGAATGCTATAGAAGAAGGTGGAGCAGATCAAGCTTTAAACTCTGTCACAATGCATAATCCGGGTGTGGATGCAATGTCTCCAAAAGTCCACCGATCCAAGAAAAAGGACAAGCATAAACAGAATCGTCATTCCACAGGGAGTGTGATGCAGGGCAAACCCAAGAAACATGCCCACTCGTCCTCCAGTGCAGCTCAACTGCCTCCCAGTGGAGAGATGGCTAAGAGAGGTGAGGCCGGGTCAGGAACCTCGCCTAGCCACAGGAAGAGATCCGACAAAGTCCACGGATCACCCAGTAGCAAGGCCTCTGGTTCCCCCAGCAACAAACCAGGAACAGGCAAAGGAGACTCTTCCAAAAAGAAGCCTGGAAAACAAGTGTGTGATTCATACAAACAATACGGTTTTATTGATGACCCCAATTTTTTACAATCAAGAAACGGGATTGTTGAATTGAGGTTAGTGGACCCTGAAGATGTTGAATGTCCTCCGGCTCCGATAAAGTTAGGAGCTCACAATGACAAGTCTCTGTCTGGTTGTGAAAATAAGCAACAAAGTGCATCACTTGGTAAACCAGGCGGGAAGAGACACTTCACAAGTTCAAGTTCCTATAGTCCAAGTCCAACTCGACAAAAGTCCTCTCGGCCTCGATCCTTTGCCCATCCCACAGGTGCTTGTGAAGGATCACCTGGGCTTGGTGTTGAAGGATCACATTCACCCATGGTAAGTCAAGGCACGCCGAGACGCAAGTCCCGGAATGCAACAAAGTCCAAGAAGCGAGTTTCCTATCCAGTGACGGGGGCTGAAGTATCACACGATGTATTCCCACAGTCAGGTGAACAGGAGGATCAACCAGCCAATGGGAACCCTGTATTGCCTGAATTAGCCAATCAAGAATCAGGTCAAAGTTCTCTACCTTTAGGTCTTATAACAGTGCGAAATGGACCTCTGAGTAGCTATGTATAGTGAAAGTAGAATATTAGTGTAGGTTATTGTTATGTAGAAATCATTAGCTCAACGGGAACTTATATCATAGACCATATTCATGTGTGTACGTGTCATTGTGGTGTTTTTCAAATGAAGAAACTGTTAATAATTTCACATCAAAGATCTTAAAATAACTTGTCTTTTTTATCACAAAAGCATTATACATATTCTGTCTTATACCATTTGTTTTATACCATTTATAGTATAGTTGATGATGTTTTAATGTCCAACAGATTCTTTTTTTGAACAAGGGGAAGTAACTCCAATTATCTTCCTTCCTGATGCCATGTTTATTTTACACAACTTTGCTGTGAATTTGTGAAAATATCTGTGACCACAATATATACCTTTGAGCAGCATAATTTGTGTGGAAAGAATCTTGTAAAAACAAACCACATCTAATCATTGTGAAGCAGCATTAATCAGTTTTTGCACTTTCTTTCATTTCTCAATTAATAACTTGCCAGAAGTTGTGTGGTTCCAGAAAACTGACCTGTCTGTTAAACATCCGGAGATGATGTAGAGCCTCTTTCTGGCACTGACTGTGAATTGGAGCCTCTTTTTGGTGGTAACCTTGAATTTAGTTTCAGAGTTATATTTATTGACTGTGCTGGATATTTTATGTCTAAAATCTTTTACTGTAAGGATTTTGTGATGGCAATCAAAAGCATTGAGGTGGAATTTCTGATTTTGCCTCTCACATATATATCAAATATCTCACAAGATTTTTTAGCTGTATTTTAACATATTTTTTTTACAGAAATATCTATAATGTGATAATGAGTCTTCTTGGGATGGTGATTTACTGATGATGAATAGTTTCAGTGTGTTGTCTCCCCTTATATGGTCACGTGATTCATGGCAGGGGCTGTCACTGGTGGTCACAGTGCGTCAGTGCAAACAGTCATCTTCTTTTAGCAATGAGTTTATCATGTGAGGGGAATGTTTGTCAAGATGTTTGGCTGTAATAATTTTGTCGATATATCTATGGTGTCTATGTATCATGATTGCTTTGTCGATTTAGTGATTAAGGACATTTACACAATCTGATATCCCTTCAAATTATGACAATCCCGAGCCTCATTCCTCAAAGCTATCTTAGTGCTGCGACTGTCGTAAGTCAGTGTTTAAATATGGGAGTTAAAACTGACAAAGTACTACTACTGTCGTAAGTTATTGTTAAAGTATGGGAGTTATGACAACATAGCGCTATACTGCCGTAAGTCAATGTTAAAGTATGGGAGTTATGACAACATAGCGCTATACTGCCGTAAGTCAATGTTAAAGTATGGGAGTTATGACATTTTAGCGCTACGACTGTTGTAAGTCAGTATTATAGTATGGGAGTTACGACAACTTAGCGCTACGACTGTCGTAAGTCAGTATTATAGTATGGGAGTAACGACAACTTAGCGCTACAACTGTCATAAATCAATGTTAAAGTATGGGAGTTATGACATTTTAGCGCTACAACTGCTGTAAGTCAATGTTAAAGTATGGGAGTTATGACATTTTAGCGCTACGACTGTCGTAAGTCAGTATTATAGTGTGGGAGTTACGACAACTTAGCGCTACGACTGTCGTAAGTCAGTATTATAGTATGGGATTTACGACAACTTAGCGCTACAACTGTCGTAAATCAATGTTAAAGTATGGGAGTTATGACATTTTAGCGCTACGACTGTCGTAAGTCAGTATTATAGTATGGGAGTTACGACAACTTAGCGTTACGACTGTCATAAATCAATGTTAAAGTATGACAACTCAGCGCAAACAATGTTTCCTGGAACAAGGCTCAGGATGACATAAGCTCTGAGTGGTGGCCATACTTCAACACATTTTTGATGAAAATTCTGTGTCTGTTGCCATGGTTACCATGCCAGGATTTTAAGTCACTGATTGGTGTCCATACGTCAACACATTTTTTAAGAAAATGTTTGTGACTGTTGCCATGGATACCATGCCAGGTTTTAAGTATTTCCCTTTTATTCAGCGAGATGAAATGTTAAGTCTTTTTTTAGCCCTTGCTGCTCCGCAAATTAAATATTTTTATAACTGATTTTGCACTTAAGGGATATAAAATGTCATGTGATATGTAAGACAAACAATCGTAGTCACTTTTTAGTCCTTACTGCTCTGACGGTTTTGTTATATCTTTAATATATTTTGTTTCAAAGGGTACCCAAGTTCATGTGATATTAATTATGAATGTTTGTTATTTTTTCATATATCATTGAAAGCGCCAGTTGTCCGTGCAATCATTTCCCTATAGTTCCATGCTTCTCTTATGTCCATGCCGATAGGAAGCGTCACACTGATGGAGACTTACTCAGAAACATATGGCATGTTATCTTGGAGATCTTCAGAGATTGTTTCATTGATCAATTGGAAAAGTCTTCTGGGTTGATCTACTATAAGTGTTTACATCTTAATTACAGACCACAATTCTTTAAATTCCTTTACCTGATACAGCTAGTTATATGAAACTAACGCTATAGTCAAAGGGAGACAATCTGAACTTTTTGTTATGAATTGTCCCCCTTTGTATGATTGGGAAACTTTCCCCCAAGTCTTTCTTTCTTGTCACATCTAGGTATTGATATGAAAATTATAATAATGGTTACAGACTTCTGCATGAAATCTTGTTACCATGGTTACGGGCTTCTGTGTGAGCTTGTGTTGTCATGGCTACAGGGTTTTATTATCACTTGTTACCTTGTTACAGGGTTATGCGTGAGCTCATGTTACCTTGGTTACATGTTCCTGTCATCTATTGCCTTGGTTACATCACTAGGTGTCAGCTCATGTTACCATGGTTACAGGGTTGTCATCTCTTGTTACCTTGGTTACCTTGGGCTGTTATCTGAAACTGTCCATGATTCCGTCGTCCCAAAGCTTCAGTCACTGAGAGGTCGTCATATTGATTCATTTTACTGTTAATAGAATTATGTAAATGCACATTTTTCTCAGGTACTGAATAATTTCATTGTGTTTGATTTTTGTGACATTTTGTGTTTTAAGCTATGTGAATTATTTTTATGATATTTCTAGGTGTTTTTACAATGTTTTATTAGGAGTAAAATAATGTAAATTTTAGCAATTTCAATGTTGGGTCAAACGTATGTTGTTTAACTGCCCTGACATGTGTTAATCATACACCTCCCTATCCTTAGTCTCCTAGGACACTGTTTTATTGTAAGTCTCCTAGGACATTGTTTTATTGTAAGTCTCCTAGGACATTGTTTTACATAGTTTCATCACGGAAAGAGTCTGTGAACCGAGGGGTTTATGGCTTTAACAAACTTTTCTGTACAATCTGTTTGTTTCATAAAATATAATTGTAGCAATACATGAAGACCAATTTGACGCCCAATCAAAGTACTTAAATCTATAGTCCTCCCCACCTAAAATAGAATCACAAAATATCGCGATGATTAATTAATGAAGACAGCAGCATGTGTGCTAATACCCGGTAGTTACAAAGTGAAAACAAGTCATTCCGCCAATAAGGCTTTTTTCAACAGTGATTACAAAAAATTGCAAAATGCGCTTTTCAGGAAGTATCCTTGTTGTTTGCAATAAATATCATCATTGAGTTTTGATCACGTGGTTACAATCCGGGTGTGAATCGGCAGTCAGCTGTACTGTAAGTAAAATTCTTTGTCGGCGGAATGACTTGTTTTCACTTTATAAGTATTAGCACACATGCTGCTGTCTTCGTTAATTAACCATCGGAATATTTCGTGATTCTATTTCAAGTGGCAAGGACTATAACTGACCACACACCTCAGTAAAAGGAGGCTATCAGTCGTCCCACTTATCTCGGGGATCGTACTTCAATTCGGATTTACTAAATCCTGGTTCGCCCCGATTATGTTTCTAGGTTTGTCAGCACTATACCCGTGTTCGTGGGTTTAATCGAAGTTGTAAACGTCTAAGACCTGCATTTCTTCGGGCTTTCCTCCCACATTAAGCTGACACGCCAGATTACTTTTTAAAGCGGCGTTAAACCCAACTCACTCACTCACTCACTCACTGATTTACTAAATACCCTGCACCCTGTCACCGCCATAGCTTTGTGTCATCACCGACTCACCAACTTGGCACCAGATTCATCTCGCTCATCAACACCCAATCAAAATGCCTCTTCTTAACGTGATGGCATAGATCTGCATGTAAAATCCCGACATCCTATGAGTGAGTCATCAGTGTATTTAACTGAATCAGTAAATGAAGTTTCTTCAATACGAGGACCTGGAAGGGAGACCCATGACATTCGGGCTGTGCTTGAGATGGCATGCAACAGTCAAGTGGGGGACTGGTGGTCTTGCTGCTTGTGTCAGCCATGAATGAACAGTGTATCTTGACTGGACATCATTGGTGGCATGGATAGGAAGCGGAAGAGGCAGACTGGTCCAGGATGCGATACTCGGGGTAACAGAGGATGCAGTCCAAGAGACCATGCCTGGAGGTGTAATCCCAGCTTCAGACATTGCATGAGGAACCAATACAACAGACATATAAGTACATGAAGCATTATCAAATTGTGAAGGTACCATTAGGCAGAAATATGTATGTGTTTCTGGTTTCTGCACCAACCATGATCTGTTCCCTGTACACTTCTTCACTCTATCCTTTGTGACGTTATCGCCATTTCAGTATTCATCGTATTTTACCTTTTGAAAACATTTGTTGCACTTTATCTCGGACAAAAACGCCATGTTCTTCATATTGAAGCAGGTCTTTACTGATTTTCTATTTTCAAATTTGCTTCAAAGGTGAAACACATATATTTGTTAGCCGATGTTACAGATAGATCTTGATCATGAAGGAAGGTATTGGATTTTAAGGATCTGTATGGAATCTGTGTTTTAAGGATTGACCAAATGGCAGAGTTGTGATCAGTTGTGTTAATGGTACAAAGTAGGCATCAGCATTTTAGTGTTTTAGTGATTTTCACAAATTATGCAATATATATATAATGTGCAATCTATGTGACAGTGGATATTTGCTGCCAAACTTATGAGTTTGTGAGGCTTCAATGATTGTCTATATTGATTTCATGTAAATATTATCCCTGTGTTTTGACTCACATCTGAACACAATGGTGACTTGTGCTCCGTGCACAACGTCAACCTTCATCATGTACACACTAATGGCAGTGTTTTCTATGGTCAGTCTGTTTACAAACACTTTGTTCTCCATGGTGGATAGATGACTAAGGGAGACAACTGGTGGGCAAGTTTGATTTGGATATTTACTTCAGTTTAAATCCTGGAGACTAAAGATAATGAACATTCATTGTTGCTATAGTACCAAGCATGCACCCGATTCTTGATATTCCATCAGTTACTTCATGTTCAGCTTTCATCCCTTTGGTGTCAGTGGAATACAACCTCCTGTTTAGAACCCATGTTACAAAGAATCTGTGTTTATAGTACAAAGAATCCACATTTAACAAGATCCTATAAGTTAGTGATGATGATGAGAAATCTGGCTTCTCCTGGGTGGGACCTGACCAAAATAGATCTAGTCAGGATGTAATACATTGTTACGTTTTCATCCTTACCCACCTCTCATCTGGCCTCTCATCCCGAGTTTCATCCAGCCTCTCATCCCGCCTCACATCCCGACTCCCATCCCGCCTCACATCCTGCCTTGTCAGTTAGGTCAGGGTTAGGGTCAAGTGGATCGGTTGTCAGTTAGGCTAAGTCAGGGTCAGGTGGATCGGTTGTCGGTTAGGCTAAGTCAGGGTCAGGTGGATCGGTTGTCAGTTAGGTTAGGTCAGGGTAAGGTGGATCGGTTGTCAGTTAGGTAAGGTCAGGGTCAGGTGGATCGGTTGTCAGTTAGGCTAAGTCAGGGTCAGGTGGATCGGTTGTCAGTTAGGCTAAGTCAGGGTTAGGTGGATCGGTTGTCAGTTAGGTTAGGTCAGGGTTAGGTGTATGGTTGTCAGTTAGGTAAGGTCAGGGTCAGGTGGATCGGTTGTCAGTTAAGCTAAGTCAGGGTTAGGTGGATCGGTTGTCAGGTTAGGTCAGGGTTAGGGTCAGGTGGGTCGGTTGTCAGTTAGGCTAAGTCAGGGTCAGGGTTAGGTGGGTCGGTTGTCAGTTAGGTTAGGTCAGGGTCAGGTGGATCGGTTGTCAGTAAGGTTAGGTCAGGGTCAGGTGGATCGGTTGTCAGTTAGGTCAGGGTTAGGGTTAGGTGGGTCGGTTGTCAGTTAGGCTAAGTCAGGGTCAGGGTCAGGTGGATCGGTTGTCAGTTAAGTCAGGGTTAGGGTTAGGTGGATCAGTCGAATATCCTCTAA